CCCTCTAGCCACCATTTTGCAACCTAAAGAAAACCAGTTTAATAAATCAAACAGGGTTTTCTCTGTGCTCTGCCCTGCCTGTCTCCTGCTCAGAGCTTCTTCCTTCTATACCTTGGTCCATAGCCTATCCCTTTCTTTTCCCTTTCAATTGTCTCTTTCTTTTTCAAGCTTTGTCACTCCTAAGAGATGGAAACTGAGATCCACACATTAAATCTTCATGTAGATCTAGCTGTATCACTGAACAGGCTTCTTTCTATGCCTGGGAAAAATCCAGGTTATAAACTGTAACCTGAGGCTGTGGTTCCATGATGTCAACAAATGATTAGTTTAGTAAAATCAGGGCAAATGTCAGTCAGCCTCATAATTTCACACTACTAAGACTTTGTCAAGCAACATATGGAGGTCCTCATTTAATTTCTGATTTTGTTTTGTTTTCCTTGCTTTAAATCTAAACCACTACATATCAAAATCACCCCTGATTTTTTTCAAGCTCCCATATCTGGGCTCCATCCCAGGCCAACTAAATTTGAATTTCGGGAGATGATGTCTTGGCATTGATAGCTTTTAAAAGACCCTAGATGAGTCTAATGTAAACTCTTGTCAGAGACTCACTTATAATCTGAAACCATCACCTGACTCTGCAGACTAGCAGTATGCTTAACGCCAGATGACTATCAGCTTGCATAGTTTTTTTAAACTCGTTCAAGGACTTTCTCAGCTTTGCTCTCATTGTATCTTCACAACTCAGAGAGGTAGGCAGCTCTGATGCTATTATTAGCATTGGACAGATGAGAAAATGAGGCATAAAAATGTGAAATGAGTTGTTCAAGGGTACTCAGAAAGTTATTGGCAAAGGCACATTGTAACCTCACTTGAAACAGTTACTTACTAATAGTAGAGGAATTCAGTGACTGGGAAGGTAACATGGTTAGGGGAACTCCTCTACTATTAGTAAGTAATCCTCACACACAGGTTTTCACTAGAAAACAAATGTGATCGATTTTCAGAAATAAGTACCATATTTTTAAATTTAGAATTTCATTTTAAATTTAGGGTCAGTGTCTTTTTTTTAGGTTATTGAAGCTAATCTTTTAATTTTACTTAAATTTTTTTTATTTCAATAGCTTTTGGGGTACCAGTGATTTTGGATTGCATGGATGAATTGAAAGTGATGAAATCTGAGATTTTAGTGCACTTCTCACCCGAGTAGTAAACATTGTACCCAATATGTAGTTTTTATCTTGCATCCTCCCTCCAACCTCCCCTTTCTGAGTCTCCACAGTCCATTATATTACTCTGTATGCCTCTGCATACAAGATATCTTTTTCTGAAGTCTATCACAGGTTTTTCAAAGTACTTCTGCATACTTACTTCCCCCACCTCCTCACCACCTTTCATAGATGTATATTTTCCTAGAGACTAAAAAGATTCAGGTAGTTTCCATTAAGATATTTTTTTCAGAAAAGTATTTTTAAAAGATTACATAGTCATTGAATTTCAGAGGTAAAGGGAATTTTACTGATCAACTTTCTCTCCCTCCTCTGATAGATGAGTCCTGTTTAATTCAATATATATGGAATGATAACACTGTACCAAATACTTCACATCCATAATCTCAACTGAATCCTTACCATAATTCAATAAAATAGGTACCACCAACACTACCACCAACATCATCAGTCTCATTTAACAAATGAAAAAAACTGAGGCTTAGAGATGCCAAACACCTTACCCAAGGTTCCTGGGTGAGTAAGTTGAGGCCTGATATTTACATTTGACTCAGAGTCTAAGTCCTTATTCACCACCTTCCATCATCGGGAGTAACAACAGTGCAAGATGTGAAGGATAAACAAATCCTTATGAAAATGCCAATGAGGTGATCAGTGAATACTTCTCCCAGGAGGTGGAAAAGTGGCATCAGGTTTAGGCCATCACAAGTATACAGGATTCCAGTAGGAATTCTTGACTGGAATCCAATCCATACAGATGTTGAAGCAAAAAAGTGATAAGGAGGAAATAGGGTGAACTGTGAGAAAAAACATGTCAAGAGAAAAAGTTGGAAAGAGGTGAGGAGGCAGATTGCAAAGGTTCCCAAGTGTATGGCTAAGGAATTTAGATGACCTTGTGTGCAATGGAAACCCACAGAGGTTTTTAGCAGCAAGATCCCTTAACAAAATGTGACTGAATTTTAGAAATATAAATCTCACGAAAGAATGGAGATTGAATTCGGGGAGCACAACTTGGTATGAAGGAGACCAACAGGGATGCAGCTCCACCTCAGTAACTGGCTGTTTCACTGTTAACCATGTGTTGTGCTTGCATCTTTCTCCATTGCCCACCCCCACTGCCCCTAGATTGTTCAAGCCACCTCTGTATCTGTTTCCTATGTCTACAAATGTAAGTCAGGTGACAGGGACTTGAACTTGGGCAGCAGAAATGGCGACAAGAGGATAAGTGTGAGGGGTATTTGCAAGGGCCTGGTCACTGCTCAGTAGGAAAGGCAGAAGAGAAGGAGAAGCAGAGAAGAAAAAGACTAAGAGAAGGGAACAGATGAGATATAGAAAGGAAGGGATAGTTAATAATAGCACAAAGAGATAAACAAGATGGCTTGACCAAGTTCTCAATCCAACAAGTATTTATTAAGCAGCTACTATGTACTGGATTAAGGGAACAATGTGTAAAATTGGTTTTTGTCCTCAGGCATCACCCAGAGTAAAGAAAATAGCAGCAACAGCCAGATGTCAGACCTTCTAATCATGGTGCTCCTTTCATTAAATGGCCTTAATTCATGGAGCATTGTAAAAACTTTATGTAAACAACATACATATAGTTTTAAAGAATCCAAAACATCTTTAAAATCTATTCATCACATCAGCTCAATTATATTGCAGTCAAAGAAGAGTGCAGTAAGTACTTGTTTTTCCTTCTTCCTGTTCCTTCTGCTGGCCTTCTTCCCTCAATTATGAAAATAGCTGATCCCTTTCCACCATTCCGGTCTCAGGACAAATGTTATCCCCTCACACTGGCCCTCCTGGTGAGTCACTCTATTTCAGGCATCCTACCCCATCACATGATCCTGTTTTATTTCTTCATTGCACTAAGAATACCTGAAATTTATATGCCTACATTTATATAGTCTGTTTCTCCCCGAGAACAGAAACTTCACAGAAGGCAAAACAAATCTTGTTAGTTGCTGCCAGTCACACAGTAAGCCCTCTGTAGAAAATGTTTCTTGGCTACATTTTTTTAAAAAGCAAATAAACTTCAAGATTAATACCTCAAACCAATCTAGGCTGGTTTCCAATTGCTTACGACATACTGAGAACTGAAGTGACTCTAAAGAGCAAGGCTATTTTGAGGCTGGGGTCGAACGAAAATCCACGGGGTCTATGCCAGATCAGTACAACGGAATTGACTGTTTTGCAAGATTTCGGGAGTACCAAACGGGCATGAGATGTTTGACAACGAGGCCAGCCATACACCGAGCTCGGGTTTTATTTCCCTTGTCCTTCTGACGTCAGAAAAAGCACGAGTTGCTGCACAGTTTCTTTTATCAAGGTGACAAATTACACCCTCGCTGGGCCGTGCATTCTGCAAACCATAAATTTATTTTCCTCCTCCCCTTTATATTGAAAAATGTAAAATCCCACTGCAGAGATGTCAAAACCCCTTCCAAACGCAAATGAATACCGTTTTCAAGCAGTGGCGTCTTTTTTCACTTTTACTACACACATCACCGTGGATTCCTCTGAGAAAGTACATGATCCTGGCGGGAGTTAGGTTTCTAACGGAGAAAGAGGGTTGTTAAAATCCCGGGTTCGCGCCGCAGAGCAAGACAAAGGACTCTCAATTGTAGCACCACCTTTCCCAGACCAAGGCAGCCTGTGAAAGGCACTGGGAACTGCGTAACGCGGAAACCGCGAAATTCCTTTTGCTCCCATATGCACTTGTGCCTTCTCTGACTACAGTTTAGCACAAACCCCCGGCGGGCGATTTGGCAGGGAATCGGTGCCCAGGCAGCCCGGTAACCTGCAGGGTCCCAGTGGGTGCTGAGGAGCCCCATGCACCGGGAGGTAGATAATTTAGGGGGCGAGGAGCTCGCACAAGGGCGAAGGTGCGCTCTCCTCCCAACACCTACCCACGCGTTTGAAGGCCTCTGTGGCAATGTTTAGGGAAGCTAGCTAGGTGCCGGGGGTTGGGGAGGAGGTGGGACTAGAAGCGAGCACAGTCTGAGACCAAGCCCGCGCAAGAGGTGGCCTTTTGTTCGCTGGCTCCAGCAGATTCCGGCTCTCGAGAAAAAACACTACCTCTATCCCCTGTCACGCTCTGCATTTTAGAAAAAAAAAACCTCTTCAGGGCAGGAAAGGACAGTAAGTCACTGCAAGCATCCCTTAGTAATTTCTCCCCGCGCCCTCCTATTTCCCCGCGTTACAAAGGGACAGAGAACACCAGGAGGGATGGCAAACGTGCTCCCGTTTACCGATGCTCCGCGGCGGCTACCCAGCAGACCGCACGCAGCACCCCTGGGACATCACACACTCTCCTCTGGGCCTTGCGGACACAGGAAATTTCCCTCAAAGGTTAAGGATTCAAACACTCCTAGAACACGGTCGCGCCCTCAAGTAAGCTGCGCTCTCGCTACAGACCTGCGTCGTTCCTGGCCCTTGTAAAAATTGAACCACATTTAGTCCCACACGCTGCCACAGCCACGGGGAAACAGACCAAAGCCACAGGAAAACAAACCAAAAAGTAAGCCACAGCCCACGGAAAGGTCAACTCGGGGGCCCTGGCGCTTCCTCGCGCTACCGCGTGCATTCGGGAAACACAGGGGACCCGGACTTTCCTTCTCCTAAAAGCAACATCCAAACGCTTCGGGCACAGCCCATGCTCTCTCTGCTTTCACGCCGGCAGGGATGATTTCTACGTTACCGCCTTCTCTCACATCTAAACATCCCCCCGCCGCTCGCCCAGCCCTCCCCGGGAACTGAAAACCACCTTACCTCCGGAAATAAGGGGAAAGGTGGCGAAAGGCGATGTGAAGGTGTCCGCCCTTCCGGGATTTTCACCCTCGGCAGTTTGATGTCCTTTGTGTCAAGGTCTGGCTGTGGCGCCGGGAAAAGGTGGCCCCCGTCAGTGAGGGCTGGGCAGGGAGCTTGGCGTGGCCTGGCGGATTTCCGAGGAAGGTGAAGGGCGGAGGCTCCTGGCGACCTTCAGGCGGAGTGGCGTGGCTGCCCCAGTCCGCGCTCGCCCGGCTCTACTCCTCCTTTCCGGGCCGATTGCATCAGAATCTCCCCTCACCAGCAACCCCCACTCACACTCTGCTCTCCGGCCCCGCACTTACAGCGACAAGCACGGGCGCTGAGGGTCACGAATCGGAGTCATTCTCCTACTGTGGGGCACGTCGCCCTTCAGCAACCACGGCTTGTGATGGTTGAACGGGGACAGTCAGGCCATTCCTCCCCGTCCCGCGCCCCGTCTCCTCCCCTCCTGTGCGCCCGCTCTTTAACCAAAGCTGCGTGTCACTGAGCCGTGCCCGTCACATGGTGCCACTGCTGGCGGCCGCGCCTTGTTGCCTCCCTCTCGTCGCTCCCTGACGATGCAGCTACCGCGGCTGACGGAGACTGAGCAGCGGGGAAAGGGTGAGGGAGGGGTTGCGGGTCGCGCGGGTGTCCGGCGCACGGAAGGTGGCACTGGGAGAGAAGGCTGCGCGCCGCCTGGCACCTGCCCTCGCTCTCCTAGGGCCCGGCGGCGTGCTCGGAACCCAGCGGCGATGGCAGCTGGAAAATGCGAGCCCTTAGGGATGGGGGTGCGGCCGCTAAAGGGACACCGGCGGAGGACAGGAGGGCTGTGCGTTCGGCTGGGGCCTGCGTTTTGGGTACTCCAGAGCCCCGCCGGGGCCGAAGGAGCGAGGGAGTTGCATTGTGGGAAGGGGAGCTGCATGAGGATGGCCGCCGGAGTGGCGGGTCCGAGCGCAGCCCCGAGAGCCGCGGGCAGCGCCCGGGACTACGCGTAGCGTTGGAGCAGAGGGTTGGCGCTGGGGACGGCCGGCAGATGGCCCGGGTTGGCGAGAAGGGGACCGAAATGGCAGGGGGAGGCGGGAATTCGGGCACCTTTGGAAACCCTTTGTCCCTAACCTGAACGGGAGGCACCTCCCCTCTTCCGGATCCAGCACCCGCAGATCTGGCGAGCCCTCCCTAAGGTCTGCCCTGTGGAGCTTTGCTTTGGGAACTGAGTGTGAAGCGACCAGGAGGATTTGTTGAGCGCCGAGAGAGCACCTGTCTAGGCGTGAAGAGGAGGGGGCTAGGTCGTGGAGTGCCTGGTGACCCCACTTGGTTCCACCCGAAGGACCTGGCGCGCCCTTCGCCAGGTTAACGGAGCTGGGGCGCTTCAAGTCCGGGGGACGAGCGAGCGGGATGGGGGGAGCGGGGGAAACTGGGCCTGGTTCCCTTTTTTTTCCCCGCTTACTCTTTGTGTCAGACACAGCCCCCTTTCACTGTCTGGGCATTTCCTTGCATAGGAGTTGTGTCTTCTTAAAATGGCGACAGGAAATCCCACCTGCGCTTCAGCCAATTAGACTGTCATTATAGAGTGAATGAATTTGCGGGGTGGAAACGCGAGCTTTTTGCTGACCGGGATGGTTCAGTCTCATGTTCATGGTTCATCAAAACAGGAAAAGGAAGGTGAATCATAATTCAAAAAGTAACTACCTGGAGCGTTTCAAGCAGAGAGTAGTCACTGTATTGGAGTGAATTTTGCTTTTTCATCACCACTGGAAAAGCAAAGTGATAACCTAATTTGAAACTCATCACGGACTAAACCTGTTATTCCCTTCGAATGGCAGTAAATGGCCTTTATTAGTTCAACAGTGGCTTCCTGAGAATCCTCTTTAGAAGACATGCTCTTGAGTAATCCTGAGAAACTGAAAGTTCACAGCAAACAGAAAGGGCAAAACACAGGTAGCCTAGCTCAGACACACCTGCATTCAATTTCTTCCTCTGACACTTACTGCTTCCCTTACCTGCTTAGCTTTTGTCCTATTCCTGTTTTCTATATTTGGAGGAAAAAAAAAAAAGGATGGTGGGAGAAAGTACACACAAATAGCAGTATTCTCTAGGTTATCAAAAGTTGTTTTTTTTCTACCTTATTGGAGGAAGCCAATTTAGTGTAAAAATAATTTTAAGTAGTGTGCACCTTACCTGGCACAATTCTTATGAATAGGGTAAGAAATCTGAATAGGTGAAGTAGATGAACTGTGAGCCATAGCTTAATAGGCTTGTTGGAACATTTACCTTATTAAAGGCAGAATATGTATATTCATCGGTGTTTGAAGATTATCTGATCCAAGTTTATCTTTTGGCCCCAGTTTTAACTTACTTGCTTGTTTCTATATACAAAAAAGACTGCAGTTATTTAGCATTTTTTAATTGGATTCAGTAGTTATGAACTGAGCTCCTATGATATGGTAGCTATTGTGCTAAGGACTTTACATGGTAAACCTTTCAACCTCTTAATTAGATATTATTCTCTTTGTATAAACAAGCAAACAAGTTAAAAGGCTGAATTGGCCATGTTCACCTAAAACAGCAATTAGTGAAGGAGAAGTGATTCCCCTTCAGGTCTGAATTCAAAATCCCTTCTCTGTCTTTTTTTTTTTTTTTTTTTGAGACAGAGTTTTGCTCTTGTTACCCAGGCTTGAGTGCAATGGTGCGATCTCGGCTCACCACAACCTCCGCCTCCTGGGTTCAGGCAATTCTCCTGCCTCAGCCTCCTGCCCTTCTCAGTCTTTACAGTGGTGCTACAACCATTTGCAATTGGACATTCTTGGGCCTAGAGTTTGAAGGAACTTCCCCCCTCCGCTGGATTTTAGCTGACAACCTAGAACCAGAGTAAATGTCAACATAGAAGCTACTGTGGTCTTTAATTGAGGCCAGGGATGTCTGGATGATTCCTCTATTCACTTTGTGCTTACTGAGAGACAAGCAGCAGGTTAAGCACTTCACAGATGGTCTCTCGTTTAATTCTCATGACATTCCTAATAGGGCAGACTATCCTAATCCCTGACTCAAAGGTTAGAGAATTTATCCTGAGTCCACACAGCTCTAATTGGCACATCCAAATCTTGCATCCAGAGCTGACTGCTAAGCTAGTTTTCTGTGGCTGGATCTAAAATGTTCCCTGATTCTGGAATAACCATCTTTGGAGGTCTAGCAGGTGGAAAGGGTCTCGGGCCACTCTGCCTCTGAATAGGAACCACTGTCCTGTTTCAGTAGAGTCCAGGGAGTTAGTTTTCTCAATAATAGCCTTGTGAGGGGCAAAGGCCTTGTTGATAGTATCTAATGTTGTTTGTGGACCTTTCCCATTTGAACAGATTTCTCAATATGTTTTTAAGGTATTTAGGACATTACCAGGTTTGATTGCAGGATGCCGTATGGAACTGAGAAAATTCTGTATATGCTCTGAAAATGGGGCTAGGGAAAGAATTCGTACTATGAAAGGAGAATTGGATAACTTTAGGTCACCTGGGAGTTTTCTGGTAACCCCATAGCTCTTTTTTGTATGGTTCCAAGAAGGTGGGGCAGCTTTGTGAAGAAAGATCAGTGATACCCCAAAGAGGATTCAGCCTGAACTTAAAGCCACATTTGCTCTCATTCCAGCTTCACCCTGTACTCACCTGGATTGCACTTGCGTTCCACCTGGGTTTCCCAGTAGGACAGCTGAAGAAGGGGCCACCACCAGCTGTGCAGTTACAGAGACTATGTGCTTTCCTGCATGGGTTTTCAAAGCTTTCCAAATACATCTGGCTTGAAACCAGCAATATTCTTGTATAACAATTTTTGGGTAATAAGATCAAAACTATTTTCTGAATATAGTGTTTTTTAAAAATCTGTAAAGGACTGTCATTGGAAAATCTGATTTTTAACGATGATGAAAAAGTAGGAAAGTCAGCTGGTGAGGTTAACTCGGAACAAGTGTCCTACATATCTCCTACTTGTAACAGAAACAGTGCAGCCATTAGGTGAACAAATCCAGTCTCACTAGAAAATAAATTGTTTATTCTGTAGTCTTTTATTCCTGTTTATAGAGTCTACTCTAAGCAGCAAATGGTCTTTAAGATTATTGGTTTTCCTTGACTTTCACATTTCTTTGCCTGATTAACTCTTTTTATCATTCTTGATGTTCTCTGAATCTCATCCATAAATGACAATATTTTGACACTAGAAGTTAGCAAAGCAGCCAGAGCAAAAAGTACATTTGCAATGAAAAGAGCTCCCAAATTGTCTTGGCCAGCCTTATGCAGATACATGGCACTCTGCACCCTAATGCGTCTTGGTAGGTAGCACTGTGTCAGGGGCTACTGTCACCTCTTCCATCATTGAAATGAACATTCTGCCTCACCAGATTCATAATTGGTTCTGGCAAAAGGTCAAATACCCCCACTGATTCTAAACTGAAGTTAAATTAAAATTCCAGAACAAAATTATTTTTTATTATCTTATTGGTTAATTACTTTTAGAGACAGTATTTCATTCTGTTCTCCAGGTTAGAGTGCAGTGGGCCAATCATAATAGCTCACTGCAGCCTCAAATTTCTGGAATCGGGGGATCCTCCCACTTCAGCTTCCTGAGTAGCTGGGACTACAGGTACGTGTCACAATGACTAGCTGTTTTTTATTCTATTATTTTAGAAACAGATTCTCACTTTGTTTCCTAGACTGTTCTCAACCTCCTGGCCTCAAGCCATCCTCCCACCTTGGCCTCCCAAAATGCTAGGATTATAGGCCTGAACCACCATCCCCAGCCCGAGACTCTTTAAAAATGTCTGCTGTCTCTAATTTTGGCCTGAGTCATATTTGTAAGGTCATTTATTTATTTTTTATCTGTTAGGTAAGCTGGGCATGGAGTTTATGTGTATCCCCACCCAAATCTAATATTGAAATGTAATTCTTAATGCTGGAGGTAGGGCCTGTTGGGAAGTGACTGGATCATGGGGGCAGCTTTCTGATTTATGGTTTAGCACCATCCCCTTGTGTGCTTTCCTCTTGATAGTGAGTTCTCCAGCAATCTGGTTGTTCTCACTCTCTGGCTCCTGCTTTCACCATGTGAAGTGCCTGATCCTGCTTTGCCTTCTGCTATGAGTTAAAGCTTCCTGAGGCTTTTCCAGAAGCAGATGCTGCCATGTTTCCTGTACAGCCTGCAGACCTGTGAGCCAGTTAAACTTCTTTTCTTTATAAATTACCCAGTCTCAGGCTTTTTTTAATAGCAATGCAAGAATGGACTAATACAGATACCCATCTGGTAATCAAATGACTCAGTGCCTACAGAGTACCTAAGCACAATGGTTGATATATAATAAGTGCCCAATAAATGGTATCTCTTATTATTTTGCACACTTTGCAGGAATAAAAATGGGCAATGACGTTTCAAAGTCCAAGTTTATAGGCAAAGAAGTATTCTATTACGTTCACTTCATGCTGAAACAGCTATTAAGCCCACATCTCTACTCCCATTTCTCCTACTGTGAAAATGAGGAAAGAAGGTATTAAAGAATAGTTAGGCCTGCACTTCAACTCTCAATCTTAACTTTAAGGTGAGAAAGATAAGTTTTAAATCTACAATAAAAAATAAAAAATAAAGTGTTAAAAAAAAATCTATAAGGATGTGTTAATTAAGAAGTAGAAGTGTTCCAAAATGGAGTATGGCATTTATATTTACTAATGATGGCAATATAAATTGGTATGACTTTTTGTGAAGTAGCCAATTTAGGGGTTAAGAATGTAGGCTCCAGTGCCAGATTTGCTGAGTTCTAATCTTGGCTCTACAGCCTATTAGCTTTGTTACCTTGGGCAAGTTGCTTCTCTATGCCTCAGTTTTTTCATATTTAAAATGGAAATAAACAGTAATACCTACCTTATAAGGCTTTGTGAAATATATATGTTAATACATGTAAAGCATTAAAAATAATTAACATATCTTAAGTATTCAGTCACTAATAATTATTATTACTGGAAATCAGTTTGGCAATAAGTAGAAAGAACTTAGATACCATTGGGTGTCACTTCTGGGACTCTATACCCTAAAAATAATGCACAAAGAAGTTTCCTAATAACACAGGATCTACAAGCACAGGCTTTGGAATAAGTCAAGTAAAGGTAAAAAGCATGTTTAAAATGTTTCTCCAAAGCAAGTATAACATAAATTCATAAATGATAGTCCAAATTAAATATGCAGATGACTAGGCTTGAGGAGAGCTGTAACACTTCCATAAGCCCTTAGAGATACTTTGAGAAACAGGATACGGGGCTGACTTTTGCTTAGTTCTGATCCTGTGTGATAATACTTTCTCATTTATAAGTGGACATCCAAAGGCAATATAGCTGGATAAAGTATCTTCGTCCAAGACTAAGAGAAACACCGTTGATAGCAGGAGTGATGAAAGGCATCAAGCAAAGTGAGGATGCAGATGAGAAAAGAAGATCAGAACACAGAAATATCTGAAACAAGTCACAAATGCATAGTATGAGCCCTCAGGTAAGGACCAGAGCAGAATCATCCCATGATGTTCAAGGCATACTCTTGGGGTGCTGTGTCATGCTAAGATCTTGCTTGGTTTTTGTCTTTTCTTCTGAAAAGGTACCTTTTGGGAAGAAGCATTAAAAAAAATTTCTTTTTCTGCTAGCAGTATTTAGGAGGAAGAATTCTATTCATTACTGGAGTGGAGTAACATGCTTTCCTAAAATAAACTTTAATTCTACATAATTGTTCTTAAAATAAGAAACGCCACATAATATTCAGTATGCTTGATTTTAAAAGGCTATATTTTAGGCATATGAAGCTATTTAATAATCACAAAGGTAATTTAATAAGATTTAGAATTGATTGTCTTTATGCGGATAAATATTTATAGTTATTTATATATTTATGCGTTCCTAAAATAAAATGTTCAAAGTTTTGATTTAAATGTAACATTTCCAAAATCGAACTCATTGCATTTTTTCCCCCAACTCAAGCCCTCTTCTCTTCCCATAAACCCCATATTGGGAAATGCCACCACCATGGGTACAGTTGCTCAAGCTAAAAGGATGGGGGTATATTGGCTCATCCCCTTCATTCTTCACATCTAATTAATTCAGTCTTTTGAGTAACATTTACTAAGTGCCAGGCCTTCTGCTAGTCTTTCCTGAAGCTTGAAGTTAGAGTGAGAGACTAATACTACTCAAATTATCTTGCCAGTGAATGTACAAGTTAGAGGTGGAGATAAGTGCTCTGCAGAAAGGAGCATGACTCTGTGAGAGGAACAGAGGACCACATGCTGACCTACAAATCAAGGAAGACTTCCCTGAGGACATAACCCTTGTTTGGACTCTGTTCTCTTTATGCTAAGAATTTTAATAAGGAGCAAGTAATTGACATGATCCAGTGTACATTTTTAGAGGAATATCACGAGTCCTATCCCTTCACCTCCTAAATATGTCTGACATCCGTTCCCTATCCTCCATCCTCATGACCTTCACTGGCATGGGCATCCATCAGCTCACTGTGGGGAAAGTTTCCCTCAAAGGGCACTGATAACACATCTCATTAAAACTATACTACATCATTATACCTCCCCAACATAATATGTACATGTATGTATTTGACCATATATGGATTACTATCTTATGTATTACATATATTAAGAGCATTCACAAAAAATTAAAAATCCAAATGGTAAGATTTTACATTTTAGATTTATTTGATAACAATACTTTATTCTATTACTAAACATATATTCCTAATCGTCATTAAGATATTATCATGTTAGAAAACTTTGCTTAACTATACCATATCATTTTTAGAAATCTTAGTTTAATATTCTGTGACACAGAAATTGACAAGTCTGCTTCCAAATTTGGTTTATTTTGATTCTTTCATTTAATGGCTGTCATAGCTGAAAAAGGACCCCATAGAGACCCAACAGAGGCAGTGCCTTATTGGCTATACCTCCCAAATGAAGCCATTTATTTCTCAATCTCATTCACTAATTTACAAAGATTTACTGATTTTTCATTGTTAGACTGCAAAGGTACACTTAAATGAGGGTAATTCTTAATAAATATGTGAATAAGAACATGACCTCTACCTTTGTGAAACTTGCACATTACAGAAGCTCAATAAATATTTGTTGAATGAATAAATGAGGAAATAGAATATTTTTACAGTTAAGTAGTTTTAATTATTTTATATTTAAATTTCAAGTCTTTAAAGGAGAAGGAATTGAAAAAATGTGAAATATTAAATATACGTTTACCTCCATTTTTAAAGGTTAGTAGCTATATGCACAAATCAAATGAATAGCAATTTTTGGAAGTGTAACCATTTTGGGAATCTTGTGTGAATAAATTACAATTTTAAAACATCGAGAATAAGTGCCCATTGAATGTCATTTTTTAAAAGGAAAAAAGAAACTTTAGTCTCTATTTAAAAAGTAACATATTTAACAGTTTTCTCATTTATGCAAATTATATGGAAAATTCAGAACCCCAACCACCAAAAGATTACCTTCCATAAGAGTAAGTGTGGTTTTGGCTTCCAGAATCATCTGGATAAGTGCCAGCATTCTCCAAGTCACATTCTTGGTATGAAATGAACATTTGTAAATGGAGTCTAATTAAATTTTGTGCTAAAAAGAAGAGTTACAAATTAATTTGTTCTGTTGTGTCTCCTTGCTATTTTTAATAACATTTAGTATTTAGGAATTATACTGTGGTTCAGATATAAACCATTTTTGCAATATCAGTTTAATAATGAAGTCAACAATTATTTCTCTATATCCAATGTTGTTACTCTAATTAGAAAAGAAATGTACTCGTCTCTCCTTTTCCTTTTCAGTGATGGCTAGATAACCATCTTACAGCTTGGCATTTTTCATCTGTTTATTTATTTATTTATTCAGTGAATGTGTTTCAAGCTAATTCTTTTTGCAGCATTCTTTATCTGATTCTTGTCTCCTCTGGGAACTTCCTCCTTAATTTATTTTTTGATTCTGTATTTTCATCCTATTTTCTATTTACTGTAAAGTAGAGAAACATCTCCTATCATTAAAAAAGAAAGAGACAGGGAGAAGACAGGAAAGGGGAGACAGGAAAAGAGGAAATTTCCTTTGATTTTAAATTTTTCACTAACTATAACTCTCATTTTTCTTCTGTTTAAGAGCCAAGATATTCCAAAGAAAAATTAAAAATATATGTCTCTAAATCTTTATTTCCCATTCACTCTTAAATACACACACACACACTTGCAAAATTAATTTATTCTCACTGTAGAAAACTTGGGAAATGCAGCAAAATGTAAAGAAGAAAACCAAAACCATCTACAAATTTATATACCAGTTACCATTGTTGACTGTTAGTTCATTTTACTTGCATGTCTTTTTTACATTCAGAATCATGTCTAATTTTGCATTTGTATATGACATTAAATTATAATCATTTTATAATATCATTAACAATTTTCAAAAACAAATTTTAATAACCATAAAATATTCTACCATATAGTTTTACAATTATAATTAATTTCAGAATTTCATTTTTTGTAAACATTTATAATACTTTGTCCTGTCTCTGACTATTTCCATAAGATAAATTTCTGGAGGTGGAATTATAGGGTTAAAACAGCAACATTTAAAAATACCTGATACAGGAGAAGTGGTTTCAAGATGGCTGATAGAAGTACCAGGCACTCACCTCCTCCTAAAGGAAGGACCTAAACAGCAAGTAGATAATCACACATCAAATAGCATGTCTATGAGAGAACACTGGAATTCATTAGGAAAATGACAGGGAACATCTGAAGAATGGAAGGAAATAGAAGTAAGGCAGCTGGTCCAGCTGGCATCAGCTGGGAGCCAGGAAATGTAGCAAAAGAGTAAGTGAGAGACTCTTAGTGGTCCACATTCTCTCCTACAATGCTAGCCACAGGAAAATCCCTCAGCACTCACAGGCCCTGAGACTAGAGTAGGGAACTTCCTAAGGTCCATATCACAGCATTGTTCAAGACAGATAGTTTGTATTTGGTCCCAGATATCCCTCAAAACCCAAGCAGCTGTGCAGGCACAGTGGCTTATCCCTATAATTCCAGCACGTTGAGAGGCTGAGGTGGGCAGATTGCTTGAGCCCAGGAGTTTGAGAGTAGCGTGGGCAAATAGCAAAACCCCATCTCTACAAAAAATATAAAAATTAATAAGATGTGGTGGTCTGCACCTGTAATCCCAGCTATTTGGAAAGCTCAGGTGGGAGGATTGCTTGAGTCTTGGAGGTCGAGGCTGCAGGGAGCCATAATTGCACCACTACACTCCAGATGTAATGACAGAATGAGACTTTGTCTCAAAAACAAAAACCAACAAACAAAAACCCCAAGCAGCTGCAGCACCATGCCATTTTGACAGCCCAGCCCCCACCAGACTGCAGCCTGCCCTGGGACCCAACAATCCCTGCATCTCCACATTCACGGATCCCCACTGACACCCTCCCAAGACTGACTGGAGAACTTCAGTAGCACAATGCTGGCTAGACCCAGCAGTGTGGCCAGCTTTCTAGCACTCTAGCCCACAGTGTCCTACACCCAAGAAAATGGGCAGCATAGCACACTAGAGAAGCTGCCTCCAGGACAAAAAGAGCTGAACTGGGCACTCCCAGAATCTGAGGCCATGGCCACTGACAGCAACTCTTCTCTCCCTTACCCCCAGTAGTGGGGCTGCCATGCACCTGCACATGCCTGCAGTGAGCCTGGGGACTGATCTGCCCAAATGCCATCCTGGGGTCTGAGGACAGGCGTACTCTGCTCACCGCCACCACCACTAGGTGCCTAGAGATTGCCTTGATCTGCCCACCACAGCCTGGCCCATGTGCATCATCGGGGTACCTGACAACAGGCTTAGCCTGCCCTGTGCTATCCCCTACAGTGCCTGAGTGTTCAGAGCCCTGGCGACCAACCTGCCTTACCTGTCATATCTGACACATGCATGCACCATCTGGGGGCCTAACACAGGCCCAGTCTGCCTGCTGCCAGCATCCAACCATGCAATGTCATACAGAAGCCTGAAGAATACCCAAACACAGCCACCACAGGTTGCTCCTGTGTGCACCATTGAGTGACCTGAAGACAAGCGGGTTCTACCTGACACAGCTCCCTCCACTCCCTGAATGTACCATCTGGGGGATCTGGGGATCAACCAGCCCTGCCTGCCACTTCTGATGTGTGCCTTCACCATCAAGGGGCCTCATAACAGGCCCAGACTGCCTGCTGCCAGCACCCGGGCATCTATCTGAGGGGCCTAGAAATCACTCCACCCTGCCCACCACAGCCCGTGCCTCAGCACATCATCAGGGGCTGGAGGACAAGACCACCACACATGTACTACTCAAACCCCCATGTCCCCAAGCATGTTGTCCAGACAGATGGGAATTTTCATATCCTGCCTACCATCACTGCATACACACACACCTTCCACGGGCCTGAGGATGGGCCTGCCCAGCATGTTGCCACCACCACCACCATCAGCATCCACCTGCACTATCCCCCAATGGCCGGAGTACTGGCCCACTCAGCCCATTGCTGCCACCACCGAAGGTAATGTGTGCTGACTGGAAGCCTAAGGGTTGACCTGCAACCACTACTGCAATTGCTGATGCTGTTGCATACTGTCCAGGGGCCCAAGAACCTGCCCATCCACCCAACTCACCCCTGTCATTGCTGGTACACAAACAAGGAACCTGGAGGTCCAATAATTGTGTCCCTAGAACCAGCTAAAACTGCACTTGGGAACCCAAGGAAAGGCATATTGGCCTACTTCCACCACTACTGGGGCCTTAGGACAGGTCCATTTGGTATCCCCATCCCCAGCAAAGCCTCATGACAGCCTCCACTAACAATTGTAGCCTAAGCCACTGAGGAAATCACATGATATTGTCTACACACACAAAAAAAAATCATACAGAGATTACACTGCTGCATCTATTCAGAATAAAAGCTAAAGTGCCCTACCCAACCAACACTATAGATACATCTGTGGGAAAAAAATCTTTACCTGTGAAAGCCAGTCCAAAAAATTAAAAGAGGTGACTGTTATAACAAATGAGTAGATATAAATGTAAGTACAAAAGAAACATGAAAAGCAACAAAATGTGATATGTTCAGAGAAACACAATAATTCTCCAGCAGCAGGTTTCAACAACAACAAAAAACTGAAATGTATGAAAAAGAATTTAAAATAGCTCAGTGAGACACCAGAGAAAACAGATAAATCATATGAAGAAAGTGAAAAAACAATTCATTATATGCATAAGCAATTCACCAAAGAAATAGATGTCATTTGAAAAAAAGAAAAACATAACCAGAAATACTGGAATGAAAGAATTCAATAAATAAAATAAAAATACAATTGATAACTTCAATAATAGACTGGGTTAAGCAGAAGAAAGACTTTTTGAATTTGAAGTCAAATCTTTTGAAATAACTCAGACAAAAAAATAGAAAAGGAAGAAAGAAAAAAAAGAGTAAATAATAACAGAAACCCTATGTGACATGTGGGACACCATAAAGTGACCAAATATTCAAATTGTAATTCTCCATAAAAAGAAGAGATGGAAAAAAAAAAAAGAAGAAGAGATGGACAAAGGCACAGAAAACGTATTTTTAAAAATCATAGGTGAAATATTCTCAAGTCTCGCAGAGATATAAACATCTAGACACAACGAAGTCAAAGAACCTCAGACAGACTGAACTCAAAAATGCACATTATAGTCAAACTGTTGAAAGTCGAAGACTAAGAAAAAACTCTTAAATGCAGCAAGGGAAAAGTGTCAAATCACAGAAAAGGGAATACCCATCAGACTAACAGCAAATTCTTAGCAGAAACTTTACAGGCCAGGAGAGAATGGAATGATATATTAAAAGTGCTGAAAGTTAAAAAAAAAAGTCAATGAAAACAACAAAGCTATCCTTCAAAAATGAAGGAGAAATAGTCTTTCCCAGATAAGCAAAAACTGAGGGAATTTATCATCACTAGAACAGTCCAACAGAAATGGCTAAGGGAGTCCTGCATCTGGAAGCAAAAGGACAATATCTAAATTCATGTAAACACACAAAAATATAAAACTCATTAGCAGTGTAAAACTCACAGAGATACAAATGAGAGAAACACTTCAAATATTATCACTACAGAAAATCACCAAACTTCAGTAATAACACAATAAAGGAAAAAATGATACACAAAATAACCAGAAAACAATTAATGACAGAAATAAGTCCTCACCTATAAATAGTAATCTTGAATGAAAATGAATTAAATTCCCTGCTTAAAAGAGTTAAATTGGCTGAATAGATTAAAAAAAAAAAAAACTTGACCTGACTATATTCTGCTTACAGAAAACTTACTTCATGTATAAAGAAACATATGAAGTAAGTTTTTTGTTAAGCAGCATATAGTTAGGTCAAGACTGAAAGTAAAGGGAATGGATTAAAATACTTCACACAAAGAAAAACCAAAAGCAAGCATTAGTATATTCACATCAGATAAAACAGGTTTTAAGTAAAAAATAATAATAATAAATAAAAAGTGGAGTGAAGATGGCTGAATAGGAACAGCTCTAGAGTGCAGTTCCCAGTAAGAGCAACACAGAGGGTGAGTGAT